TCTCTCGCGAATTTAGCGTCTCGCATGTTTAAAGGATCGGTGATTTTTTTTCCCACTTGACCCCTTTTTTTGCCAGTTCCCGTACTAGTCGCAAAAAAAAATAAATATTTTTGCTAGAACTCCATTTTTTTAAATTGAATGAGTGAAGAAACCACCCCCTTTTCCAATTTCAACTATCCTACAGTGGGCAGAATTTACAATTTGCCAATTCACACAAATTTCAAAGATGCCAAATTTTCCCAAAAGGGGCCCAAAAAAACAAAAAATACATTCCTGCACTAAAATGACATTTCCTCTGTTCATTAGCACTCCCCAAGGCCCCTTTACTTCTTTTTTCTTTCCACTTTGAATTTTATTCCACAAAAAAATAGAAGATTTACTGTTATGCAGACTACTGCATTAGTGTAAAAAATGGTATGAATCATATTGGCGCACTTTCAAAAGAATATTTGACCCCACCATACTGATTGGACCTTGGGATGATTTGTTTACTTTTGAACTTTGGTAAAAATTGAACATTTCTGCTATTTGAGCTCAATTCAAGGGACTTTTCATTGTAAAACCAGTCAAAATCATCTCAATTTCTATGAATCCTTCCATTCTATAAAAAGAGACCAAAAAAACTAGAATACAAAAATAAATCTAACAAAAAAAGTGCAAAAGTCGCTGTTTTTTTTCCAAAAAAACGGGGCCCAAATTTTTTTTCTCTTATGCACTGGTGCTCAATTTTTTTATACCGTGCACACTGACCACATAGACCCTTCTTTCATATGAGGGCCCACCAGCTTTTTCCCATAATTTGAGGGCGAGAATTTTGGCACACGTCAAAAACCCGGGTCTAAACCGTACTAGTACTCCAAAAACCCCAAAGGGGTTAAAAGGGAAAATTTCGGAGGTGCTTTACATAATGAAAACATTTCTTTTATTTTATTGAACCATGGCAAGGGGTAAAAAAAGCAGGGTTAAAACAATAAATAGAAAAAGAAATTGGAATGCTTAGCGCAATAGCGCCACCAAAAAATACCACAGGTGATGTGGCGACCCTGGAAATTTTTAAATTTCTAGCCAAAAATTTTGCCCAATAAATAAGGAAACCCAAAAACTGATTGCCCCATTTGTATGGGGGACCTTAGTTTACATGTAAAAAAAATTGCAGCCAAAAAAAAAAAAAAAAACACTGTGATGCAATGCATTTCAGCAAACTACAAATGCTTTAAAGTTACTTAAGATCTTGACATAGACTTTTAAGTAGGGCTTATCGTTAACTTATCATAAGTACAATAAGAAAAGTACTAATGAACAAAAGGGTTTGTTATAAAACAATTACACATTATTCAAACTGATTCAGTGACTACGTTTTGTGGGGTGATTGAACAAAATGGGAAGATACAGCAAATTCTAGTTACAGTAAAAAACCAGGGACCTATTTTTTGCTGTGAAAATTTTTAAATGAACAAACGGGTTGGGATCGCTAAAATGAAATATACTACATTTTACTAACAAGAAGAATAACGGGGATATAAATCCTAAAATTTATTAAATCTGATCAATCATCATTTAGGTATAGGCAAAATTCAAGTTAAGAACCTTTGACAAGCAGTGTAAGGGATTTAACCCTTTTAGGTCCGTCCCTAATCTACGGGTTACGTCAGGCCAAAACCCTAGACTCCCATGAGCTCACTCACCCCGATAAACGTGATGGGACATTTGGGGCCTAGATAGAGAGAAACATCTATGTGGGATGTGGGCACCCAAAAACAACCTGCACACACTGTTATAATGAGAGAAAAAAAATTTTAAACAAAATTTTTTTTGAAAAAACAGCAACTTTGGGAGCGTTTTTTTTGTATTTTTTATAGTTGTTTTCGTTTTTGGCTCATTTTATAGAATGGAAGACATATTACAGAAATAGAGATGATTTTGTTTGGGTTTTAGCACTAAAAATGGCTTAAAAACTGAGCTCAAAGTAGCAAAATGTTAAATTTTTTGCCGATATTCAAGAGTAAAAAAACGACCTCACACATCTAATACACGTCAGCTGGGGGGTCTAATATACATTCACAAATATGGTGATGATATTTATACAATTATTACAGTATTGCATAACAGTAATCTTCTATTTTTTGGTGTGAATAAAAATTCATTATGTGAATAAAAAATCAAATTGGAATTTATTTGTAACATAACTAATGAACAGAGGAAATTAGTTTAGTGCCAGGAATGCCTACATTGTTCATTCTGGACCCTATTTTGAAATTGGGAAATATTTTGAACTTTGTTTTAAAAATTGGCCAAATTAACATTTTCCGATAACTTATTTTGTAGTTGAACAGTTGCTTGGCGATTTCTTGTGCTCAGGTCGATAGAATAAAAGTATATACTAGTGAAATAGCTAAGAATTTGGTTGATTGGAATAATGTAATTGCCCAAAATGGGAGTCAAAGTCGGCAAAATTCGCGATTCATAAATATCGCTGACAACAATCAAAATTCGCGAGAGCAAAAATTTCCGTCAATTTCCACCAAATTTCCTACTTTTTGTTTTATTACCTTCACAAAAAGATTCTCTACGATTTCATAAGAAAAAATAACAAATTTTTTTTTTGAAAATTCTTGGACACTGGTGCGTGACTCCAGATTTGGGCCTTGGACCCTGAAAGGGTTAAGTAAATTTAAGTTAACAATCAGAGAAGTGACTTGGACAAATATTAAATAAAGGACTATTTCCCTGGGAAATAGTCCTGAGCAACCTTAATGCAAACCAATGCATGGAAAAGCTCAGCACAGAAGCATACAAAGTCTGAAAATATGTTCTGCTTAGAAAACCTACTAAGAGATCAGACGTAGAAAGAGAATGAAGAAAAATTCACAGAAGCAGGGTTGCTGAACTGTTGAAAAATGAGTAATGTTACAGATAAATTAGACACATGTGCAACTCTTGGGTATCTTTATTAAGGAAATGTTTCGCCACACAGTGGCTTCATCAGTCCATACACAGGAGAAGCTCGAAGAATAGGAGGAGAATGAGGTAATCAGTCCCTCAACCTTGAGTCGATGTGGTCAGTCCATCAATCTTGAGTAGAATACCGCATATGAGCGGAGAAGGAGCTTATAAACCGTAGGTAGGAGAGGTGCAGCAGTCATAGGTGGTGTCACATTTGTTCAATGTGGAAGTAGGTCGTGCCCAAGGGTTAGGCAAGCGAAGAATTCCCAAGTATTAAGATCCCAAGAAGTTGCAGTGTCTGACAGGATTGTATGTAAAGTAAAAGGACACAAGTGCAACTAATGTGACATTTATTGTGGCAACGTTTCGCTCTCCAGGAGCTTTATCAAGCCATTACGGTAATGGCTTGATAAAGCTCCTGGAGAGCGAAACAGGCCTGCTAGTATGGGCCAATAGGCCTGCTGCAGTGTTCCTCCTTTCTTATGTTCTTATGTAACACAATGAGTAATAGTAAAGAAGACAAAATCTGATCTTAGGAAAGTAAATTTGTTCTGCTTAGGAAGCCTACTAAGAGATCAGATGTAGAAAGAGAATGAAGAAAAATTCACAGAAGCAGGGTTGCTGAATTGTTGAAAAATGAGTAATGTTACAACAATGGAAAGACATCTAAACTGAGAGATTACAGATGTAGAGAGAACAGTAATAATCACTACTCAGCAATCCACTCATTGATAGAAGACTTATGGTCCCAGATACTTTCTTCATTACTTTCATCCAACCTACTGATCACATATCTTACATAAACACAAATCTTCCAGAATTAAAAAAATAACAGAAAGTATGCCACATGCAGCACCTGGACTTCATTCATGCAATACTTTATAAAGATATTCAAACTATCTAGCATAAGTATTTGGTATTTGGACAAAGAGATTGTATCTAGATGAAATTGCAGAGTTCCTAATAAAGAAAAGAAGCCAGAAGGATAACTGGAAAAGTAGGAAAATGGATATTAAATTTCCTAACAAACAGAACACAAAGAGTAATAGTAAAGAAGACAAAAATCTGTTCTTAGGAAAGGAAAACATTTGGTGCCCCAAGATACTGTCCTGCATCTTTATTCTTTCTTATCCTCATAACAGATATAGATACAAACACCAGTCTTGACTTTGTATCATCCTTTGTGGATGATACCAAAATCAATATGAAAGTATCATCAATATAAGACAGAAAAATTACAATTAGATAGCAACACAGTCTTCTAATGGGCAATGAAAAATAATATGTTTAATGGTGAAAATTCCAGATATTTAGATATGGAAAAAAATGAAGAACTCAAAATGAGTGCAAGATCCATAAAAGAAGACCATCTCACAGAAGAAAGGAACATGTAAAAGATTTGATAATGATAATAGGGCAACAGCCACAAAGGCTAGAAAAATATCAGGATGGATAATGAGAACTTTCAAAGCAAGAGAAATAATGCCACTGATAATACTATTCAATTCATGTGTGCTCTCACAATATGAATATTGTTTTGAGTTCATTTCTGTTCAAGGCAAAAAGAGATAATTGCTGGAAAATGTACAGAACATTTACTGCCTGCATAAAATTTATAAAGCATTTAAACTACTGTGAATACCTAAAAGTGCTTGCAGTGTATTCCCTTAAGAGGAGAGAGAGATCTAATATTGGAGGATACATGAGGGCCTGGTCTCGAATCTTCACACTTCAGTTATAATTTGCTGGTGTGAGAGATATGGGTGGGAGTTTAAAATATCCCTAGTGACAAACAGAGGACCATATGCACAATAAGAGAACACTGTCAACATCTGTGGTCCATGACTATACATAAATACAGAGATCTCATTTGAATCCTTACCATGCATGTTTCTTTACCGAGTCATAAATGTAGGGTTGAGTGTTACTGTATATTTAATTCACTGCTGATTGTTATTTTGAGATGATGTAGGCCTGCCTTGAGTGTCAATGTCATGTGATACATAAGACAGTCTCCATTATCAGTAAATGTAGGATTACTTTTCATTGTCTAAAAGAGCATTTTGTTGACAGTGTTCAGCAGCAGTAAAGGCCAAGGCATAGTTTCATACAGACTGAGGTGTAAAGATGGAACACATGTTACACTAAGATCACGGGGATACATCGAAGTTAACCAAACTGGCCAAGTGGAAACCTTTGTATGCATCAATACAGTGGTCAGGTGAGATTTTTTAACATATGGTATTATTGGTATACCAGTAAGCCTGTGTCATTAATTATTGTATGTATTGTACTTGTATAAATATATGTACATATACCAAAAACTATTCCTAAACACATAATCTCTCTATAATAAATGATAGTTCTCACCATAATGTACAGTACTTCCAAATTTGGAAAATAAAATTTTTTACTTTTCCAAAAGATAAAAAAAAAAAAAATCGTAGATTCTCAATAATTTCTAGCTGAAATTTTTCTTTTCAAAAAAAAAAAAAAAAAAAAAAAAAGTGTAGATTCTTCATAATTTCTAGCTAAAATTCAGATTTTTTAAAATATGAGCGTAAATTAAAGAGGTGAAAAAGGGAAGCAAATGAGACTAAGAATTTTGAAAAGCATTGAAATTTAGAAAATATTTTGAAAAATAGTGGACCTGTGTGGCAGCACATTTAACTGTGTATATGTTAATACAGTACAAATATTTTAAGTGTTTTTATGTAATATAAACTAAATGTATCTATGCACTATTTTTCTCTTGATGACATGCAATACACTGTAATAGAGTACCTTATCACTTATCATTTCCTATGATGTAATTTACTGGGAAAGTGAGAAAGAAACTATTCTTGCATAGCCCTAACCTAAATGTTCCCAGTTTTGAAGCAAGCATTGTTTTTGAGTGGGTCTAGTTACCATCCTTTAACTTAATTCCAAATTCTAATTCAGGAGATGCCTAATGTTTGTTACTTACTGTTATTCAAGTCAACTTACGTGGGAAGGTGACATCTTCCCATGTCAGCTACCTTGTCTTGGGTACTAAGATTGGGTGCTTCGGCCAAGAGACCCTGTTTGTGTGTAAGAAAATGGGAGTTAACTTAAAGGGGTAAGATAGGAAGAGACCTGAGCCAAGAATGTCAGGGAGATCCATATCTGGTACAGTGGAACCTCAAATTTCGAACGTATCACTTATTGAACGTTTCAAAAATAGAACCCTTTTCTCGAACCAACTTTGTCCCTATTATCGAATGCGCCCCTATTTTCGGACCGCTGGGTACCAGACCTGTCCGCCAGCCCTCTCTGTCCGCATCCCCGCGCAGGCACCGTGAGCCAGTCTGACTTTGTTGATTCTTAAGTGAACACTAACCTGCGCTCTCATTCAAACATTTTACGATTATTTCATTGTGTTTAGTGCTTATGGGACTGAAATAAGCTACCATGGGCCGAAAGAAACTTGCTAGTGGTACCCCTGTGGTAAAGAAAGTGAGAAACACCATAGATGTGAAGAAGGAAATAATACAGAAATGTGAGAGTGGTGTGAGACTTGTTGAGCTTGCCAAGATGTATGGGAAAAACAAGTCGACCATCGGGTCGATCCTGGCAAAGAAAGATCAAGGAAGCTGATGTTGCGAAAGGTGTTAATATGCTAACCAAAAAAAGACCACAAATAGTTGAAGAGGTTGAGAAGTTGTTGCTGGTGTGGATCAAGGATGAAGAGATGGCAGGTGATAGTGTTTCAGAGACAATTATTTGCAAAAAGGCAAGGAAGTTGCATGCCGATCTGGTACAGAAAACTCCTGGAACCAGTTCAGAAACAGAGGACTGTGGACAGTTATTTTGTGAGACAGGGGTCCAGTGATTCTCAAGCTGGTCCTATTGGCATTAAAAGACAGAGTAGGGAAGTAACCCCAGAGAGGGCTTTACCTCAAGTCCTCATGGAGGGGGATACTCCTTCCAAACACTAACCCCAACTCCCTCTCTCCTCCTCCCTATCTTCCAGATGCCATCACCAATCTTCAATAAAGGTAAGTAAAAATGTTATTTTATATTTATATATATAATTGAACACTATAGGATTTGTTGTGTATGTAAAACTGGAATTAATCCCTGTAAAATGTATTTTTTTGTGAGTATTTTTGGGTTTCTGGAACCAATTAATTTTATTTCCATTATTTCTTATGGGAAATATTGCTTCGGTTTTCATACTTTTCGAATTTAGAACTAGCTCCTGGAACGGATTAAGTTCGATATTTGAGGTTCCACTGTATATTGAGACATCTGTGGAAAGAAAGAGGTTTACCTGTACAGGCGAAAGGGAGGATTGTACTAGAGTATAGTGGTACCAATGGTTTTGTATAGGTATGAGGCACGAGTTTTGAATACTTCAGCAAAGAGGAGTCTAGACGAAGTGGGGATGTCATGTTTAAGATCAGTGATCAGTGTGTGAGCAGTGTAACAGTTCGTGAAGGGATTCAGGGAAACCGGTTAGCCAGACTTGAATCCCGGAGGTGGAAAGTGACTGCATTCTGGAGGAGGGCTGGGGATATTTGCTGCTTGGAGGATCATCTGAGCTGTCGTATCCACATACCTCTGGCAAGACAGTGATAGTATGAATGATGATGAAAGTGTTTCTTTTTCAAGTCACCCTACCTCAATGGGAGATGACTAGTGTGTTAAAAAAAATGTATGTAGTATATATACAGCCACTCCTCACTTAACGACGGAGTTCTGTTTGTAAGACCACATCGGTAAATGAATTCATCACTAAGTGAGGAACATGCTATAAGGGTAGTGGGTTTGTGGCAACCATCTTTGATATTGTTTTAATGTCATCTCTGCACCATTAATAAAATTTCAGGTATATTTTTAAATGTTCATACAGTAGTGTACTGTATATTGTAATAAACAGAATAGAGGAAATCAGCTCTAATATACATTATTTAGGTATATACACTGGTCAGAGAGCCCATCGTAAGTCTGAGTCGTCGGTAAATGGGTACATCGCTAAATGAGGAGAGGTTGTATATATACATTGCTAGTCACGCCATAATTCTCATGTAGCTGCCGTGGTAAGAGGAAGTGTTGCACTTTTTGTCTCTCATCCACCCCATCTTTAGTCCGGTGTTCCCTTTGGTTTTGGTGCTATACATGTTTGATTATGGGTAAAAGGAAGTCTTTAACACCTGAAACTATAGCTCAAATCATAGGGCTTCACAAAGCTGGGCACAAGATGAAAGAAATAGTGGAGAATGTTGGTGTGAGCGTTCAGTGAGGAACAGGGTGGTATAAACCTTGGTAATAAATACCAACAAGTTGGTTTAGAAAGACACGTAAGCAAACACTATGACATATTTATTAGAAAATGTGATCAAGGTCCCAGGACCGAAACGTTTTCTAATAAATATGTCATAATGTTTGCTTACGTGTCTTTCTAAACCAGGAACAGGGTGCAGTGTTTCAAGGTTGGTGGCAGTGCCGAGTTACCGTCTGCCAAACCTCGACCTGGCCTCTTGAAAAAGACATCTGTTCATACCTTAACTGTGTTAAGGAGAAAAAGAGAGAGGTTAAGAGAGTGGTGAAGCAATGTAAAAAGAGAGCAAATGAGAGAGTGAGTGAGATGTTATCAACAAATTTTGTTGAAAATAAGAAAAAGTTTTGGAGTGAGATTAACAAGTTAAGAAAGCCTAGAGAACAAATGGATTTGTCAGTTAAAAATAGGAGAGGAGAGTTATTAAATGGAGAGTTAGAGGTATTGGGAAGATGGAGGGAATATTTTGAGGAATTGTTGAATGTTGATGAAGATTGGGAAGCTGTGATTTTGTGTATAGGGCAAGGAGGAATAACATCTTGTAGGAGTGAGGAAGAGCCAGTTGTGAGTGTGGGGGAAGTTCGTAAGGCAGCTGGGATTGATGGGATAAAGATAGAAATGTTAAAAGCAGGTGGGGATATAGTTTTGAAGTGGTTGGTGCTATTATTTAATAAATGTATGGAAGAGGGTAAGGTACCTAGGGATTGGCAGAGAGCATGCATAGTTCCTTTGTATAAAGGCAAAGGGGACAAAAAAGAGTGCAAAAATTATAGGGGGATAAGTCTGTTGAGTATACCTGGTAAAGTGTATGGTAGAGTTATTATTGAAAGAATTAAGAGTAAGACGGAGAATAGGATAGCAGATGAACAAGGAGGCTTTAGGAAAGGTAGGGGGTGTGTGGACCAGGTGTTTACAGTGAAACTTATAAGTGAACATTATTTAGATAAGGGTAAAGAGGTTTTTGTGGCATTTATGGATTTGGAAAAGGCGTATGACAGGGTGGATAGGGGGGCAATGTGGCAGATGTTGCAGATGTATGGTATAGGAGGTAGGTTACTGAAAGCAGTGAAGAGTTTTTACGAGGATAGTGAGGCTCAAGTTAGAGTATGTAGGAAAGTGGGAGATTATTTCCCAGTACAAGTAGGGTTTAGACAAGGATGTGTGATGTCACCGTTGTTGTTCAATATATTTATAGATGGGGTTGTAAGAGAAGTAAATGCGAGGGTCTTGGCAAGAGGTGTGGAGTTAAAAGATAAAGAACCACACATAAAGTGGGAGTTGTCACAGTTGCTCTTTGCTGATGACACTGTGCTCTTGGGTGATTCTGAAGAGAAGTTGCAAAGTTTGGTGGATGAATTTGGTAGAGTATGTAAAAGAAGAAAATTGAAAGTGAATACAGGAAAGAGTAAGGTTATGAGGATAACAAAATGATTAGGTGATGAAAGATTGGATATCAGACTGGAGGGAGAGAGTATGGAGGAGGTGAATGTATTCAGATATTTGGGAGTGGACGTGTCAGCGGATGTGTCTATGAAAGATGAGGTGAATCGTAGAATTGATGAGGGGAAAAGGGTGAGCGGTGCACTTAGGAGTCTGTGGAGACAAAGAACTTTGTCCTTGGAAGCAAAGAGGGGAAATGTATGAGAGTATAGTTTTACCAACGCTCCTGTATGGGTGTGAAGCATGGGTGATGAATGTTGCAGTGAGGAGAAGGCTGGAGGCAGTGGAGATGTCATGTCTGAGGGCAATGTGTGGTGTGAATATAATGCAGAGAATTCATAGTTTGGAAGTTATGAGGAGGTGCGGGATTGCCAAAACTGTTGTCCAGAGGGCTGAGGAAGGGTTGTTGAGGTGGTTCGGACATGTAGAGAGAATGGAGCAAAACAGGATGACTTCAAGAGTGTATCAGTCTGTAGTGG